ATCTGTCTTAGCCAATAGAAGTGGGTGCCAAGTGGGTGCACAGACAATTGACTGGGGAAAGGCAGTGGTAGAATGAGAATAGGTGGGAGAGGACAAAAGAGTGACTGAGTAGGAAAAAGGGTAGCAATTAAAGTGACAAGATTCTAAAATATCTTATTTTTCAAACTTTTAACTCTTACTATAGCTTTCCTTTGAAGGTTCTCCAAAACTTATAGCTCACTTCTCTTTTTCTGGGAATCTAGCTCTCTCTCTCTCTCTCTCTCTCTCTCTCTCTCTCTCTCTCTCTCATCTATCTATGTCTGTGTGTGTGTGTGTGTGTGTGTGTGTGTGTGCATACTTATGAAATCTGAGTGAAATGTAAGTTGGATATTTTCCCATGGAAAAAATATACTGTAACAAGACTCTTGATATGTAAATGTAGCTCCATTTAATAATTATTTGTAGTGATGAATTAGAGGAAATGAAATGAGAAAAAGAAAATGTGCTTGTTTATCCCTTTCAGGAAATTTCTCTATTCCCCCTGGTTTTCATCAGCTATATTTTTGGCAGGCTGTGGTCATGGAAATGTGAAGACATCACTCTCAAAGAGAATTATAATAATCACATCTGATTTATACAGATGTCACCATAGGGTTAGGCAGTTGGAAAATCCAGTAATCAAAATGAATAGGCACTTAAAATTAAGGACATGTCATACTTTCACTCATGCTCTGGGCTTGAAAATTATCAGTAGTTCACAGAAGGCATTTTCAGACTTCCAAGTTATTCCTAATGGCAAGACTGGTTTGTATCTACTAATATGAGAACCAAACCAAGCTATGGGCACTAGTATACTTCCTACAAATAATTATTATACTGGGCATGGTGGCTCTTGCTTATAATCCTAGCACCCAGGAATCAAATTCAGGAAGATTGTGAATTCAAGGTCAGCCTGTGTTATATAACAAAACTTGTCTCAAAAAAAGCCCAAAATAGAACAAGCAAGCAAAAAACCCATGTCATTATGAATATATAAGTTATTTAGATTTTTAAGGAGATATTATATACATGTGCCAGATGGACACTAAGGAGGATACTGAAGAAACAAAGACTTTGGATCTGGCCTCAAGGAATTATGATATCTCTGTAGTATGTTGCAGCAGACTTGTGGCTTTGGCTTGAGCTCTAAAACACCAGTAGAGTTCCTAAGCAGGCCAAGGGAAGAACTGGTGAAAGTAGTGAGAAAGAAAAGAGCTGGATGTTCAGTGGGCAGTTAAGCTCATCAGAGTAGATGAAGCTGGTAAATTTGAGAGTTCTAAGGGGAAAATGTAAATGAGCAGCAAATGGTAAAAAGCAGATTTTAAACTATCAAGTTGAAGTCTACCAGCAAGAGAGAGCCACTGAAATTGGCCTCTATATATAACATTAGATAATATAATATTATCGGTCTTTTATAAGGGGAGGAACTGCTATAAATGGAAATTCTGAAATGTGAAGCAGTTTTATAAAAATATAGCATATATCATGAACTAAGTAAGATATGTGTAACTGTGTAACTGACTATTGTTTGAATTAATTAAACCACTAGTAGTCTTCTAAAAGTGTGTGTCTTGAAGCTCAACCCTATAGGAAGATTAAACAAATAAGATCATAAAACATTATATAGGTACACCCAATCCTCAATTCCATTTTGAAGACATGTTCAAAAAACAAGCTAGCTTCTGATTACTCTGGCCTTTCTTCTATACCATAATGGTTTGCCTGCTTTTTGTTGAACAACATTACAGGTCAGTAATCCTAGTCAAGGAGGTTGTACATAAAAGGTAGTTCTAAAAGGCCAAAAGTGAAGCCCCAGAGTCAAAATTAAAAATAAACATTACATCAGTTATTGACCATAAGTCAACTCTGTGTGATTGGGGGGGGGTTAGTGTGTGTGAGGGATATACACTACCATTCTTGCCCTTTTCTGACAGAACTTTCTGTTCCTCTCAGGACCAGTGGAATGTGCTTAGGTCATCTCCCACATAGCCTTTGCCAGCTAGCTGGCTTTCTCCATTCTCCTTAGAAAGGAACCAAGTGAATAATCACAAATGTTTTCTAAATTTAAATTAACACAAAGTATTACATATGATATTACTCTGTTTCATATGAAGAACTAATATCCTTTCCCACTTGGCACAAGATGGAGTGATTTCTCCAAGCCCCACAGGTCCCCGTTTCTCCTTCTTTCTCCCTCTCCCCCACCTTCCCTTCCTCTCTCAGACTCTATCTTCTACAGACACACACACACACACACACACACACACGCTCGCATACGTACACACACACACGCAGAGAACCTCCTTCTCTTTTCCAAAGTCCTAGATGTTCCAGACAACATAACAAACCACACACTTGGGAATGATTCAGATGTCTCCACTCTCTATCCAAAAATGAGCAAAAATAGTTTCCACTTAATTTATAAACAGACTTTTCTGCACATTTCCTAAAAAATTAAAGCGAAACTGTCAAAAAAAAAATATAGCCACTCGTTCTCCAAAAAAATTACTGATTAGTCACAGACTACGGCATCTTTTTATAAAATACACTTGTGTTTCTCCAACCCTGCAGACAGGGACTATAGCTGCATGTTGCCAAATGCCTGATCAACGACCCCATGTTTTCAGCTATTTTCAAGTAGCCAGTGTTCTGTAGATACAGGCTGACTCTGCTCAGTCTCTTTGTTATCTCAGCAGTACATATGGATGCTGGTATTTCTGTCTGGAATATTTTTCAAGGCCAATGCCTCATTATGATCCTAACACCTGAAAATATTTGGCAGTGATTGCTCCATCCTCTCCATATCCCCCACTCTTCTCACAACCCACCCCATCTTTTGCCATTGTGAAACTGAATGTTCTGTAATTGTATCCTTTTCCTGATTGTGTTAACCGTGTATCATGACCTATGGAATGTGTAGTTGTTGGAGCATAGAGCTAAGTTTTAAGTCACATTTCAGAGGCAGAGACAACAGTGTAACAGCAGACAAGTGGGGGGAGGGAGGGAGTTGACTCTGCCTGAAGACTGGTTTTCAGTTCCAGCCCAATTGCTAAAAAGCTCTGCTGACATTAACCAAATGACTTTGTGCAACAAAGTCTTGGTTTATGAAATTTCAAAATGTCTGGCTTTGACTAGATCAGGAACATGGTCTGAAAATTTGTTGACTCTTAAATTTAAGTCAATAGCATTCCCCTCTGCAGCCCTACAAGAATGAAAGTTTCATCAGCTGAAATCAAAGGATTGACATTGACTTTTATACACATTAGATATACACTTGCTCTTAACCAAAAAGCTGAGGAAGAGGTTACATATTGGAAGCAAATAATCATCAAGAGACACAAACCAATATTTCAAATGTGGAATTCTAAATATTGTATGTAGTAAAATTACAGACAAGAAACTGGATCCTATTATGAGAACTGTTACCCTTACACTTATTTTAATATAAAATTGGATAATAAATTACCAGATTACGACAGAAGGAAAACTTCCATTGCCTTCTTGCCCTCCTTGCATGCAATCTGGGCCTTTCTTCTAGCTTGGCTTATGTGTAGAGGGTCTATTTGGGGATACTGATCTTACTATCCATTTAAACATTTTATTTTTTTGTTAGATTTCCTTTTATTTTATAATGAACACATTATAATGAAATGTGTGATAACATAATATTCATTGAAGAAATAACAATTGTTTTAAGATACATAGCAATGTGGGCAATTACACATTTAATTTTTATAAAACAACATCTAATGTACACTACAGATTTTAGTCCTCTGGAAGTCCTTAGGCATTACCAAATTTAAACTTCTTAAAATTGGAAATAATTTTCCATACAATATATTCCAACAGTGAAAAAATATGGAATGCTTCACATAGTTCTTGCACCAGGGCCATGCTAATCAGTCTTATCCATATCATTCCAATTTTACTATATGTGCTGCCAAAGCTAGCAATAAACAGTTTATTTTGTCTGGAATCTATGTTAAGTTGCTTCCTTCTTGAGAAAACTTATACCATATATCAGAAAAACAATAGGAATAGAACAGTTTGCTAGATCTGACATTTGTGAACATCAAAGTGAGGTAAGATGACTTTTAAAACTAGGCACTCAGATTTGAAAACAAATATTATTTAACATAACTTCACAGAACTACCCATTGAACACAAGTCAAAGACTTGAAACTTCTAAGATGGAGACTGCAAAGAAGTGTTTGAGCCTGGACCTTCAATAACAAACATGGGCACAAACTGAAATACTAGGTTAACAGTCATTGCTTTCAGTTGAAATTTTTAGACCAGGTGTTTGACCACACCTCCAGACTTGCTGATACATTGGTATAAGTATTAGCTATAAGTTAAGTGCTCAATGGCAATTTACAATGGCGAATGCCAAGTATTAATTTCTTTGCAGTACCGACTAGGCATTTTTTGTTGTTTTTGTAGAGCTGGAAATAGAACCCAAGGATTTGGCACTTGCTAGGCAAGCACTCTAACCAAGCCACATCCCCAGCTCTTGCAAACACATATACTAATGTCCTTCACAAATCTCTCAGCTACATAGATACACTCAGACCCTTCCACCCACACCTCCACAGAGACTCACCCAAACGTATGCCAATCAGCACATATGCTAATTGTACTACACCTACACAGGTAGTCACATACTGAAAAGAAGAGGCGGAAAGATCATAGCAAGGATAGGTAATGTTTGATGTGTCTCAGAGGAGAGAGGCTGCTGTTACCCTGGGGAAGTGGACAATGGGCTTACTTTCCCAGAATTGCACAGAAATACATAAGAGCAAGCAGGCTTCTGCAAAAGATAAGTTCCAGGGAAAACTTGCAGTGAGTCGGTTATTCTCCATGAAAACAACTTGAAGTTGATGCACTTATCCTCTAGAAAGTGACCCAGTTTATGGGGAGCTTGCTAACTGTACAACTATGTATTAAATCATCAAAGTTGTGAGGGAGGGGATACTGCTTACCTTTAGTTTCTCAAATCGATCATTCAGGGAAGCGACCTGATGGTCTCGGTGACGACCCACCAGTTTGCATAAGGCACAGATCAATTGGTCATCAGATACACAGTACATGTTCACTTTCTCATTCTCATGGTCCAGGCAGGTAATCCCTCGAAGATGTGTATCTGAAACTGGTTCCACCAGGCGATGGCTGGTGAAAGGTTTCTTATTGGGATGTGTGGCCCGGAGGCAACGGTCACAGTAGGAGACCTCACAGGTGATACATGTCTTCACAGCATCTCTTGGAGGGTCCTGCTCACAGAATTGGCAAGCAATTCGCTCACTAGACATGGCGGAGCTTGGCCTGTAAGTCCTCTCCCGACGGCTCTCAATTGGAGAATTGGGCCCACTGACTGAAGCCTTTTGAAATCGATCAATAATGTTCTGCAGGGTCACATTCCTCTTGAGGCCATCCAGGCCCCGGTGATTCAGCGAGATAACATACCTGCATGTAGGACACTGAAAAGCAGTAATGGGTTCAATGGATTCACCAGAGCTGCAGCTTGAGACCAAGATGCGATGGGCACAGCTGAAACACAGGCTATGAGCACAAGGGAGCAGAAGGGGGTCTTCAAACAACTCGAGGCAGATTGGACAGGTCAATTCAGACTCCAGTGTTTCCATCTTTAGTGAAAATAATCCTGCTGAGGCATTAAGAACCGCAGAGGCTGGGCTTTCACCTGCAAGTAACACAAAGTAAGAGTCATTAAGCATTTCCAAAGGAAAAGTGGTTGCAGAATAATTATATTGTAACCAATGGAGACTTTCGGCCTGATAGACTCCCCAGGGATGCTTAAGCAATAGGAGTTACTTGGAAATTAATCAGGAAGCTTTTCTGTACCCCGCTCTCCTTCAAACCTTGTTTTAGACACTTGCCTGGGTTTTTTTCCCTTTACTAATAAATAGAACCAAGGGGCCACCTCTGTGTCTTGGTTTCCTGATTAACATTACTATTCCAGCTCACACACTTGGCATGGATCTTTCTCTGCTAAATTCTCCACTGACATCTCTGAGACTGTGATGAGTTGGGGGCCCTACAAATTTCTCAATCCCTACTCTCCAATATTGTTCTCTATTTCACGTCAAGGCAAGATATAAGGGCTGTTCCTATTTTACATCCAGTGGAAGGAAAACAAGGCTATATTTCAAACTAGCTCTCTCCTTCCTGAAATGATTCCATTCTAAGCGTCTGCATGGAAAAAAAAAAAAAAAAAGACAGACAGCTTTGGGGAAATGCAGTTTTCAGTGCAGGGTAATATATTTTTCTTCAGCGTGTGAACTTCATATGACTACACATGGAAGTTTGTTTGATCCTATTCCTAGTAACTGAATCATTAAAGACAAAAGATGATAGTTTGCCCTTTCACTTTCTCAAACCCTCACCTTCAAAGAAGCGTTAATTCCATCAAGTTGAGTAGTGAAATTGTAAACTTAGTAACAACTGCCATCACTGATGGCTTCAGTTTGGTTTTATTGTTAAATACTTTTTCAGCCTGTTCCAAAGCTCATCTCCCATGGGTATTTTCACATTTATAAAACATGATCAAATGCAAATCAATATCTAGATGAAAACTGGCAAGTTGAACAGCCAGAAATCTTCAGATCTGGTAACCTTCATTTTAGTGTGGACCAGAGAGTAAAAGAAAGAAATCTCCCAACTGACAGAACTAACCAGTTTGTCACTTTATGCATTTCCCCACAGGCATTTCAGAGTTGAACATACAGATATTACTTAACTTAACATTCTAAGTTAGCTCTCACTGAAGACAAATAGAAGACATGTCTCAATGGCTGAAACTGTTGCTTCTCTTATTCTATTATTATTTTTTATTTTTATTTTTATTTTTATTTTTTTTTTCGAGACAGGGTTTCTCTATGTAGCTTTGGAAACTATCCTGGCACTCGACCAGCCTGGCCTCGAACTCACAGAGATCTGCCTGCCTCTGCCTCCCGAGTGCTGGACGTCTTTTTATTTTTGAGTAGTCTTGTTTATCTCACTAGCATTAGAGATCTTCATCAGGACCTGAAATTTTGATTCTTGCACTGGTGCTTGTTCAAATATTTTCATTGATTAGTTATATGTGCATAGTCCTCTGACAGGAATCAAAAATACTGAGTACAATTATATCTAGCACCTAAGTACAATAAAAGTATACACAAAAGATGTTTCTAGGGCTGGAGAGATGGCTCAGAGGTTAAGAGTACCGACTGCTCTTCCAAGGGTCCTGAGTTCAACTCCCAGCAACCACATGGTGGTTCACAACCATCCGATATGAGACCTGGTGCCCTCTGCTGGTGTGCAGATATACATGGAAGCAGAATGTTGTATACATAATAAATAAATAAAATCTTAAAAAAAAGAAAGAAAAGAAAACCAAAAAGATGTTTCTAAATTAAAACTGTTCGATGCACTGAACTAACCAGCTATTTAATCGAACATCCTTCTGTAAATGGAAACAATTTAAAAGCCAGTCACTCCCAGTTATTTTAATAGGTACAAAGGTTTGTTTAGCTACATTTTTAAAATTGAGACATGTGATATTTTCATTTTACAATTTTCAGGTATTTATACATATCTTCACACATATGTCTGTATAGAAATCTTGTAATTGGATACCTTTAGAGAAGGAAGATTACAACTCTCATACAAGGTAAGACTATTTCCTTAGATAATTACAACTGATGCCCCTCAAATGCTCAAATTGAACATGGCCACAAATGAACTTATACTCTGTGACCATCCTTGCAAAAAGCACAATTGTTTCCTCTTTCGAATTTCCCTAAATGATGAATGTTATTACCCAAGCCTAGGAAGTGTTTATTACTTCAAATACTGGGGGCTTCTAGAACATTTTCATTAACATATCTGTATTTCCAACTAATTCTTTCCTCTCCTGGAGAGCATCAACAATTTTGTATTTTTATTCAGAGCATGGTGACTGGTACAAAATAGTTATTCGATAATGGCCAAACCAAAAGTAAAAAGGTACATAATGTTTCTTGATTATTTATTTAACTGTGTTCTGAGTGCTGTGCTAAGCACTTCATGTACATTATTCATTACATTCTTTCAGGAATGTGAATATGTAATTATTACTAGACCCATCGCATACTTAGGAAAACAAGGCTGAGAGTCATTAGCAAGTCAACCAGAAACACAAAGCAAGAGCAGAGACCAGTCTCATGCCAAGGCCTGTGCTTTTCCCCCACACCTTCACTCTTATCTCACCTCCTTCACTGAAGTTATCTCGACTATTTACAAGAGGGTTTCTAAATGGCCTGCTTCCGCTTCTATTTTTGTCCCTCTGTGTCCCTCTGAACCTATCTGCTTCTCTGACTCCTTTCTCTAGGACTATCTCTATCCGACACTATACTTCTATTACAACCCCTTCCAGGGCTTCAGGCATTCTACAATATCTGTGTTGAAAACTACCTAGGTTGGTCAGAAACAATGCTGAAAGTCACTTCTACATGTTGACACCTATATAAAATCAGTTAGAGTGCCACAATTCCTCTACCTTAAATGGGTGCTATGGAAATTATTCTGTATAGAGAAATACCTCTTCAATTTCATATGAACCAAAAAAAAATGTGGTCCCAAATCAATATGACCCTTGAACCTCACTATGCAATTAAGTTTGGAGAAACACATTCTGAGGGGCACAACTGCCTTATATAAGGTTAAATTTTTAACTAGGGCTTTCTGGACCTCATAGAAATGTCTGCAGAGTGTGTGAACGTCATATGCATGTATTACCTGAGGAGGATTGTTCATCGCTTTCAAAAGACTCTCAGAGGTGTCCTTAAGAGTAAAGTCTAACATCAAGAACAAACAAACAAAAGAACACAACAGAAAAGATAGACAAAGTACAGAAAACTACTTAAATAAGCTATAACTTATGTTATCTTTACAGAAGTGCAATCAGTTAAGATGGTTACTTAACATCCCTGACCTTAGACTGAGACTGCCCTCTAACACCTGATCTTCCTGCTTCTGCCTCCCCAGTGATGAGATGGTAGGTATGCTCTACCATGCCTGGCACTCCATTCTGTTTCATTTCATTAAGACACAGTAACGCCATTAGGCAATTTGAGGGACTGAATAATTTTTGCAAGTTCCTCAAACATCTGTTTATTCATTTCTCATTTATTAAGGCTCCAAATTTGCAATACTCCTGTTTCAGCATGTCTGAAATTCTCCTCCATTTTCCCTACCTCCATTACTATCTAAGCATCATTATAATAGCAATTACCCTTTTCAGTTTTCTTTAAAAAAAAAACACTATCATTACAAATAAAGTAATTTGCCCAAGGTCATACTTACTTGCAAATAGCACAGCAAGTGTTCAAACTTAGAAAAAAAAACCTCTAGAAATAAACCCAAATATTTACAGTCAACTTATTTTTGACAAAGGTTCCAAGATAATTCAGCAAAGAAAGAAAGGGAGAACTTCATCTCGCGTGTACAAGAAATGAAGTTAGAAACCTACCTTACAACGTACAAAACTAATTCAAACTAGACATCGTGGTGTGTGTGTGTCTGTAATCCCAGTACTTGAGAGGTGGGGGGGAAAGGATCATAGTGAGTTCAAGGACACTCTGGACTACATAGGGAGATCCTGAGCTACACATAAAAAATCTCTGTCTACAAGATAAATAAATGAAGACGGATCAATCATCCAAGTATAAGAATCAAAAGAGTAAAAGTCTTAGAAGAAAAGATTGCTGTAAATCTGAGATGACCTAGATTAGACAACGTGATTCTTTGGATCACAGCAAAAGCACAAGCAACCAATACAGATACATGCTCCTTCATCCAAATTTAAACTTTTAGGGCTACAAACAACACCATCTGAGAATGAAAAGGTAGAGGATCTTCCAAAGATAATAAACAAATAGACAGTAAACACATGAAAAGATACCCAACATCATTAGCCATTAGGGAAATGCAAACCAAACAAACACACTAGAATAGCTATAATAATACAAAGCAAACAAACAAAAATGGAAAGTAGCAAGTGTTTGCCAGGATATGAAGAAATTAAATCTCACATATATATCATGTTGGCACAAATCTAAAATGTTGCAGCTGCCTTGGGAACTAGTTCGACATTTCCTCTAGAATCAAATGTAAAGTTAACATCTAATCAAGCAATTCCACTCCTAGATATGTACTGAATAAAGTAAAAAAAAAATGTGTTCATTCAAAAACTCATAAACACCAATGTTCACAGCAGCAATATTCATAGTAGCCAAGAAGGAAACAACCAAAGCTGGTCATCTAAGAATGATCAAAACATGGTTTATCCATAAGACAGAATTTTATTTAGCTACAAAAACAAATGGTGTATTGATAGATGCTTCAATATAGATAATCCTTTAAAATATAGTTTAATCCCAGCAGTCAGGAGGCAGAGGCAGGTGGATCTCTGTGAGTTCGAGGCCAGCCTGGTCTCCAGAGCGAGTGCCAGGACAGGCTCCAAAGCCACAGGGAAAGCCTGTCTGGAAAAACCAGAAAAAAATACAGTTCCAAATGAAAGAAAACAGTAGAGAAATGTAGTATATTGTGTGAGTCCCTTTATATGAAATGCCTAGAATGGGGAATAGAAAGCATAACCACAGTCAAGGAGTAGAAAAGGGAAGGAGTGGGTGTAACTACGAATATGGATGGACTTTCTGGGATTTTCACAATG